AGCTTTCGTGGACTACAGCCCACTTCTTCGGATATGCATCCGAAGAAGTGGGCTGTAGTCCACGAAAGCTTATGCTCTAATAAATTTGTAGTCCACGAAAGCTTATGCTCTAATAAATTTGTTAGTCTCTAAGGTGCCACAAGTACTCCTGTTCTTTTTGCGGATACAGACTAACACGGCTGCTGCTCTGAAACCTAATTTTATTCTGCTTCTTCAATACAAAGTGAAAGTAAGATTGCCCCCACACCCACATCTGTAGCTCTCTCTCTCTCTCTTTCCACATAAATAGACCTCTTAATTAAATGACCTGTGTATTTTCACCAAAACCAAACCTTTACCCAAGAACAGCACATAGGCACACTGATTATATGAATTTTTAACATACACAACCATATCGTTTTATGGGCAGCATAGTTCATGCAATTAACAGCAAAAAGTAAACTGGATCTCATTCCTTTCCTTTCCCAGTATAGTTTGCACCTTTTTTCTCTAGGAATGTTTCCTCAGGTCTTTTTGACCTCAGACAGATTCCCACACAGTACTTGTACTGAATCCCATCCTTGGTCTAACTAAGTGACACATCTAGTCAAGGGTTAAAATACCAGTGATGTGGGCAATGCTCAGGTCTACAGGCTTTATACCACATCCTATTTTAATGTGATACCATCTATACACCAGTGTGGGAGATATCTGAAGGAAACTAATTCTATTACCTTAAACAGTAAAGTGTCATTTTTGCTTCCTTAGATTCCACTTCAGTAAGTTAGATAGTTTATCACCCAAATGCTTTAAAGAATGTTTAAAATGTAGGACATTGGAAAATTGAATAAATGAGTAAATTTTAAAAATAATGCTCATACGGAGTGCTTACAGCTTCAATTGAAATCAATTGGAGTGGCAGGTAATCAGCACCACTGAAAGCTAGTCCCTTAATACAAAGAAGTACACAGTAGGTCTTTTTGTTAATGAAAGAACAGGTAGGGTGTTCTTACTCTGAATGGCATGTTGTCCATTTAATGATCTTTCTTTGTTCACACTCTGGATCTAAAAATTAAAAATAAGGCATATTTTCTCTCTTTCCAGAAATGTACAATCACACCTTGTTAAATATCACACAACAAGCTTTTTCAAAAAGAGAAGGTTATAAATAAAGAGTTAACAGCTTTATCATCAACTAAGCAGGAGTAGCAAAATTTTCCCCATCAGGCACAAACTTTGGTCAAAGGTTCAGTCAAAACAAAGCTAACTCCACAGAGAGGTAGAAAACTGTGAGCCAATGAGGTGTTTTCCAAGCAACAGCCAGTTAAACTGAACTGAATGGGATGCTGTATCTATACTAAAGCAACTCCGAAAACTAGTTTTGTGTATTTCCAAACTGGTAACAGAAAAAGACATGTATTGTTGAAGTTGTGTTGGTCCAGTTGGAGAAGTTGAACAGCTCGAAGATCAGAAGAGCTCCCAGGTAGACAAGGTGTCTGGAACCCTAATTAGGCAGCACTCACACACCCAATGCATGGACACTGCATGGACACTGGCCGAGGTGGAGTGTGACCAACCAGACGCAGCCAAGTCATCTCTAGTCGCAGGCCATGAGGAGTAGGTCCTTAAAAGGGGAAGGGGCCATGTGCTCAGGAGTGCACTGACAAGTTTGTACCTCCCAAAATTGTACCTCCTGTGAAGGCCCTTTGCCCAGACCGCCTGGCCAGCTGCATTCCATCGTGCCAGAAAAGGACATTATTGTTGAAGTTGTGTTGGTGGATGTACTGTGCACTTCAGTGTGTATTATATTTATGATACACTTCATACATTTATATCTACAGAATATATACAAGATTGAAGAATTCTCTCTGAGGAAAGGGCTATATTAAGAAAGCTGGAATTATCATGACATCAATGGCAGACAACATATTCAAGACCCAGCTGCAAATCTAGGATAAATTACATACAACAAGAATAAACTAATAATCTCAAAGGGACTTGTCATATATTCAGTCAAGATCATTGATCAGATCAGAGACTTCATAGGAAATCTACGGAAAGTTACCTTTCCCAAAAACATAAACCAAAGCCTTCAGCTTCCAACAGTCAGTGGGAAAAGTAATTTTCCTTAGGTTTTCCGTGAAGTACCACAGCCATAAATAAGGATAAAGAGCTTGATCTTGTCCTAGTAACTCAGGAAAAAAAACACCCCCTAGTAGCGTCAATGGAAGTTCTGTCTGAGTTACAAGTACTAGACCAAGACCAAAAAAGCAGCAGTTAAAAGGGACTAGAGAAATACATAAGCAATGCATTATATTCCAATTACTAGCAGTACCAGTGCCTTCAATTAGTTTTCTCTATCCCCCAACTTCTTGGAAGGTCAATTCCTTCTTCCTCCTGACAGCTTTTACAGACAAACCATGAATTCGGCTGATTTGTTGCATACTTACCCCTGAACTGTAGGGAGGGTCAATGAGAGTCAGGTTAGGGAGAGATGCCTGAAGCGCATTTATATACATTGGCTGAGAACCACTGTTGGACAGAGCTGAAAATTGAACAGAAATAGGCAGAGATGAAATCAGCAGTGGTTACTAAAGCACAGCCTTCTCCCCAAGCTGAATGTGTGTTTCTACATGCCCAGTACAATGGGGTCCTGGGCCATGACTGGAGCTTCTAGGCCAGGGGTTCTCAAACTGGGGGTCGGGACCCTTCAGGGGGTCGTGAGGTTATTACATGGGAGGGGTCACGAGCTGTCAACCTCCACCCCAAACCCTGCTTTGCCTCCAGCATTTATAATGGTGTTAAATATATAAAAAAGTGTTTTTAATTTATAGGGGGGGGGTCGCACTCAGAGGCTTGCTATGTGAAAGGGATCACCAGTAAAAAAAGTTTGAGAGCCACTGTTCTAGGCACTAATGCAATACAAATTAATAATCATTAATGGTGAGACAATCAGTTAATTTTTCAGTCAAAGCTGGATCACCATCCTAAGGGCATAGTACCTACATATTGCAAAGCTCTGCAAAATGGTAGCATGCATTCCAATATGCAGCAGGTGAAGGGAAAAGTTATATTCCCCCCTCTGAATGTTCTTGGCATTGTGATTTATCTAACCATTTTTTTTACACTGTAGTTCCTTTAAAATGTAATTCAATGTCTTCATCACCAAGCACGTCCAATTCTTAGGAGGACTGAATGGTCCCTATTCAGTACTGAGGTGCAAAACCTGTGTCTTACCTTCACGTTTGTACCGCTGGATCTTCTTTTTCAGGTCTATCCTATGAATGTTCTGCAAACAGTCTTCTATCAAATCCAACTGATTAGGAGCCACCAGATTTAGTTTCTCTAGATCACTGACAACAGCCAGGAAACTCTAGGACAGCAGCAGAAAGCATTACAAACTGGAAGGCCAGTAATTTGTTCCCTACCAGAAACTCTGAGAAGAGCAAGTCTAGCCTCAGTAGCCCAACAAAACAACACAGGGCATAATGCAGGCTTTCCTTTAACTCTTCAGAGACTATGAACTCAAGTCATCCTAAGCATTCACACAGCTGCCAGTCTGGAACGTGCAAGAGTTCTCGGTGTCATGCCAAATTATTAGCTGGAAGCTAGAGTGTGATGCTCTTGCAAAGACACATCATAGTGTTTGAGGAAACAGTTTTCATTTTCGCCCCACGGCAGAACCTTGCCTCATGCCACAGAATATGAAAGCCTTGGGAAATTTGTATGTTTTTCCCCCACCCACCCTTTTGTCTGCAAGAAAAACCTCAGTGACAAAACAACAAATTTCTTACATTTGTGCTCTGTGAGGACAGATTAATTATCTAGCAATTACTGCATCCCTCTGACTCAGAACACCCAGAGAGATACAATCAGGATTCAAATGGAAGAAGAGCTGCTTTGGTAAAATAAAGCAGTTTGTTTAATATGTGAACTAGGGAACAAACACGAAGGGATGTTATCCCCGTAATCATGATTACATTAATATTTTTCTCTGTTTGGGAGGGAGGGATTGGATCCCACATGCTTTCAAATGGCAGAACTTTTAAGGGGAGAGGTTTTATTTCTGAGTTTCTTCCAGCAACTAGTCCCACTAAGTGTAGCACTCTTCATATTTCCCTCTCCTCATCTCTCTAGATCTTTGTTCCTGTTCCATCCTATTTGATTTTAATGCATCATCTTCCCTCCCATAATTCCTTATTTCTGCTTCTCTTTTCTACTGTTTCTATGCATCTCTTTTCTCTCCCTTGGGGTTTCACGTTATTTTGCTAACTTGCCTTTTCCTTTAGTTTCTCATTCACCTACCGCTTCCATTTTGGAGCAAAAAAGATAATTCAATACGGAAACAAAAAGTAGGCATTACCTTATCTTTTGCCATTTTCATACGTGGCACATAATCCTTGAGCAGGAAAATGAGAGAACCCACTTCTTTTTTATCCAGCTCTTCGTTAATCTCTACCATCAGCACCCTGCAAGAGAGATCAGCCATTTCCAAGGGATTAGCTTTCAGTAATATCCCAGTCCTGCCCAAATGCCCCAAGTCATAGGAACAGTCTTTATCCAGCTCCCCAATCTGATTAAATAATCCATTCGTGGCCATCAACACATTTACCGCTCCAGTCTCCAAGATACACTCTGTAGGGAGAAGGGTCCAGTGGTTAGGAGAGCAGACTGGAAATCAAAGGAGGTGGGTTTATATTCCTGGCTCTGCCTTTGACTTGATGTGTGAGCACGTTAAGCTACAACCCACCAAGTCATAACATTAAGTGTTACGATTACATGACTTCCGACTGCTTCAGGGGACTAAAGGAAAGCAGGAGAGGGATCAGGCAGACATGTTTTCCCAACGGGTGTCACGATTTCCTATTGACTCAATTCCCACAGTCCTTCCTAGTCTTTTGAACAATTGCTGTAAAAGTCGCTGTATAGATAAACTCTAATAGCACCCTGTGATGGGTAGGAACCGTTCTGGGCGCACATGGCCCTGCCCAGTCTGGCCTGTACAAGCTGGAGCCAGGACTTTAAAAAATGAATCAGAGCAGTACAGAGGGAGGCAGTGGAAGGGAGCACAGGGCTGCTCTGAGCTCTGAAGGGAAAATGCTACTACCCAGGAGCTCATTGCCTGGGATCTGGCAATGCAGGCCTGGGCAAACCCATGGAGGAGAGGCAGACGACTGGGATTGCAGGCCAGAGACTTAATTAGAGTGAGTTACTCTGGGAAGCAAAAGGGGACTGGGGTAGGAAGTGGTCCAAAGGAGAGCAATGGCTTAGCACCCTAAAATGTTGAGTGTAGCTGCCCACCAGTAGGCCCTGGACCAGAGCCCAGTGGAAAGGGCAGGGCTAGGCTCCCCTACCCACTCTGAGAGGATATTACCCCACCTGGAGTCTTCACTTTGGTGAGAGACCTGCTGGAAAAGGCCTTGAGCGTTCAAGTGCCCAGCCCCTTGCTCATTTTCAGTGGGCTGGGGCAGGGGTTGGGGTGTGAGAGGAGGTGCAGGCTCCAGGGTGGGACCAGAAATGAGGGCTCCGGAGTGTGGGAAGGGGCTCCAGGCTGGGACAGGGGGTTGGGATAAAGGAGGGTGTGAGGGCTCCGGCTGGAGGTGTGGGCTTTGGTGTGGGGCTGGAGATGAGGAGTTTGGGGTGCAGATGGGGGCTCTGGGCTGGAGCCGAGGGATTCGGAGTGTGGGAGGGAGTGCGGGGTGTGGGCTCCGGGAGGGAGTTTGGGTGTGGAAGGGGGCTGGGGCAAAGGGTTAGGGTGTGGGCTCTGGGAGGGAGTTTGGGTGCAGGAGGGGGCTCAGGGCTGGGGCAGGGGACTGAGGTGCGGGCTCCGGGCAGCGCTTACCTGAGGTGACTCCCGGGAAGCGGCTGGCATGTCCCTCCGACTCATATGCACAGGAGCAGCCAGGGGGCTCTGTGCACTATCTTCGCCCACAGGCACTGCTCCCACAGCTCCCATTGGCCGCGGTTCCTGGCCAATGAGAGCTGCGGAGCTGGCGCTCAGGACGGGGGCAGCACGCAGAGCTCCCTGGCTGCCCCTGTGTCTAGGAGCCGGAGGGATATGCTGCTGCTTCTGGGAGCGCGTGGAGCTGGGTAGGGAGCCTGCCTTAGCCCCGCTGTGCCACCAATTGGACTTTTAGTGGCCTGGGTGTTCCGGTCAACAAACGGATGCCTGGCAACCCTATACACCTCCTACACACCTTCTACCCCATCCTGAGAACTGAACATCAGAATTATGTAGTCTGGAGCAGGTGTAATTCTCAGGGTGAGTCAATGATAGAAAGGTAAGGGAGGTGTTATTTGATTTATAAATATCTGCATATTCATAATTTCAGTGGTGTCACCTTCTGTGGCGGGGTGGGAGACGCACAGCCCACCTGGCCCCAAGTTCCACATCCTCTGGAAATTTTGATAATAGAATGTAGTCAGAAATGGGTTGAGTTGGGTATTGCTCAAAAGCCTTTTCTCCCATGAACACAATGATACCAAACAAGACAAACTAGAACAATAACATAGATATATATTCAAACATTTTTAACTATAATTTAAACACAGGGCATCTCAAACATGCAGCCCACACGAAGTTTAATTGTGGCCCTTGACTGACAGTACTGGGTCTTTTTTATGTAAATAATGCATCTTTGTGATAAAGTATCATTAAAAAAGTGTTGATTTTTAAACATTTTCTTGAATATCTATTTACATAATTGTTCTAGGGATGTCATATTTGGTACTATTGTGTTAGTGAGAGAAAGGGCTTTCAAATGATGCCCAACTTGACCCAATTCCAATGACACTGTGTCATCAAAATTTCCACCCATGGGAGGAGGTGGAAGCTGGGTCGAGCAATGAGTCACCCCTGCCACACCGCAAAGGTTGACACTGCTGAAATGATGATTCTGTACATTTTTTACAAATCAGATGACACCCCCCTTACCTAGCACTAACTTGCCCATGGAATGAGATTTTGCTCCCAGATTAAGTACATGGTGCCCAATGGCACTCATGGATTCCTGAACGACTTTAAGAGTCTCATTCCTCAGTATGGCTGGGGTCTGAAGCATCATGGAAACGCTAGTCTCTGCCTCTGTAGGAAGATGGGGAGTGCAGTGAGAATTGCACTCTGGCACCCTTTAATGTACTGTAATTGATGCAGATTCAGCTTTACTTAATGCAGCATCTCAGTTGCTGCAAGGGATATAGTAAGAATTAAACCAGGAAAAAGTATCCCAAAATGAAAATGTGGGCAAAAGCCTGGGCACCTTCATTCAGAATGACTATGTGATAGTCACTGCTGGGGGTAATGAGGTTCCTCTTAGCACGTACCATAGCCAAAGTGGGGGTATATGGTATGTAAGGAGAATTCCCCTTTAGCAAAAGCACAGTTTTAATAAACAAACCAGCTGGGTTTTCAGCATTTCCTCTTCAACAATGAGCACACCGCACCCACAACAGCTGAAGTCAGACCGGGTGAATAGCAGGACAAACTTCCTGACAGAGGCAAGTGTTCGTCTGTGGAAGAGTCTCCCAGGAAAGTGGAGGAGATCCCTTCACTAAGAACATCTAAAACTAGACAGGACAAAGCACCGGGAGATATGCTGCTGGGGACAATCCTGCACTGTAGGTTTATGTGGCCTGGTTTTGAATTAACTGACAATGATGAATGGGGGTCACTAAATATGGTGATGTTGTACAGGGTCTTGTCTATCTATTCATCCCCGCTGCTCTTCCCTCTAGCTATATAAATTACATAGGTACCTAGTGTTTAATGTATATAGTTCCCCTCTGTTAAATATGAAGCCAGACACTTTTAACACCACTACTTCTAAGTAACTGGCAGGCTGCATGTAGGGACCAAACTTTGGAGAGCGTCTTTATTATACTGCTGTGTGATCCTCTTTTCTGCTATTCTTTTACCCATAATTTATATTAAAACAACAATAACAAAAAGTTACCCTTGAAAAATGAAACACAAATTACCTGTAATCAGAGACCATTCTAGGATACCTCGCCAGATCAGTCTCCACTGCTGTTCTCTCTGTCCGCAGGGCCCTCCTCAGCAAGTCAAACCTCCTCACTCTGTATAACAGCTCAGACAAGCCAAACGGCAGCTTTCCCTTCTCATTCAGTGCCCCCAGGAGCTCCCTGATGTCTGTATTAGATAAATCAGGAACGAGATCCCGGCACAGGAAAAATATCATCTCCTTTTCATCTTCGTCCAATTCCTGCTCGATCTGGTGAATGAGGGCAGCTGGCACTTGGCACTTTGTCATCACAAGCTGCTGTTCCTTTAAGTTTATCTGCCCTCTTTTTGTGTTTTAAGCAGGAAGCCAACATGTCATGAAGTCCATTTCCAACAGAACATGTGGTTGGTTGTTGATCTTAATCAGATGTTTTTAAATAGAGAAGTTCTGTTGAAGAAAAAAAAATGACAGGCCCTGCTTGAATTGATGATTTACTGAGCAACCTTTCAAGACATCCAAGTTCCTGCTGCACTTCAATCTTTGAGGCATTCAAGTTCCGGTCAAAATGCTGATCCTACTTACAAAGGTCCAATGTTCTTGAAGGGGTTCCCCAAGCTGTTCATTATGAATAAAAAAAAAGTACATGATAAATCAGTATCACGAGAGACTGGAAGATCCATTTAAGCAAAGCACTATTAATCACGCAAGTCTGTAAGTTCCAAAGGAAGTGAAACAAAAAGCAGCAGCCCACAAAAACGAGAACAGTGAGTGTTCAAGTCGTTTTAGAACATGAAAAGTTAAGAGCCATAAATTAAAAAATCTAAACCCAATCATTCTTACAAAAGAAACAAAGAAAAAAAGTCTCAGTGCACTTTCCTGCAAAAGTTTAACAGCCAAGAGGTGTAGTGAAGTCTCTTGTTACTAAGGCCTGGTCTACACTAACCCCCCAATTCGAACTAAGGTACGCAACTTCAGCTACGTGAATAACGTAGCTGAAGTCGACGTACCTTAGTTCGAACTTACCGCAGTCCAGACGCGGCAGGCAGGCAGGCTCCCCCGTCGACTCTGCGTACTCCTCGCGGCGAGCAGGATTACCGGAGTCAACGGGGAGCACTTCTGGGTTCGATTTATCGTGTCCAGACAAGACGCGATAAATTGAACCCAGAAGTGTGATTGCCAGCCGCCAAACCAGCGCGTAAGTATAGACAAGCCCTAAGACAGTATTTAGTTCTGGTTACTAAGTAGTACTTTTAAAAAGTGTACTCCAGAACATTATCTAGTATTCACAGCACATATTAACTAGCATACCAGGGACTAGTGTAAATACATTAAACGTAAAGCACACTTGTCAAAATAGAGGAGCAAAGTACATTTTAGGATATATTATCCTGGCTTAACAGCATAAACACCAGGCTCACTTACTGGTCAGTTCATGAAATGCAGTAATTCATGGTGGGGTCTCTTAGTTGTTGGTGCCAATTAGGGAGGGTCCACTGTAAATGGATTTTTAAAAAGGTTTTTCCTTTTACTTAAAAAGAAGTCCAACACAACCTTACAATAAATCTTTGAAGGTGCAGATGGGCCTTGTGCTGCATTTTTAATAGCATGCATTTCCTATTCTTTAACCAGTTTATGCCTCACCATTTTCAATATTAGCAGTGTAAGAATAGCATTTTGGTTAAGGAACTGGACTGAGTTTCCGGAGACCAGGGTTCCTCCTTCCCGTTCCTGCCACACAGTTCTTGGCCAAGCGTCTTCATCACTCACTGTCTCAGTTCCCCATCTATTAAATGGGGTAATAGGCCTTTCCTACCCCACAAGAACAGGGTGAGAATAAATGCATTAGTGTTTGTGAGGTACTCCATTACTATGTACCTACCTAGGTAGATAGCTATTTCCAAATGTACTTTTCTCTGACGTGAAAGTCAGTAGGACTCAGGTGCCTAAGTCACTTAACTGCTTTTGAGAATTTTACCTATCCTGTTAAAAGCTGCTGCTGTGCTTTTTAGTCCTTTGCCACAGACTCTGGAAGTCATGGCTCCACAAATGGCAAACAGAGAATATCTACTTCTTCCAGCCAGTTTAAAGTTGATCAGAGAAACTCAGCTGGAAGCAATTTTCTTCACTTCCAGACCCTTGTTAAAACCAATACATCTCTTTCATGTAAACACCTATGCCTCACATCTTATACCCGAATAAAAATAAAGGCCCATTAAACCCACAAGCCAATCCACTACAAAGGACTAATCAAGTTTCCAGTGCAAAGTCTCATTCAGCTATATGTTCCACTGTACACAATGACCCATATTTTCTGTAGAGCCAAAGACTGTGTCTCCCTTAGACATTTTATAACCTCAGACTTCCAATGTCCCTACCAGTGGTGGTAGCAACAACAGAAACAGCTGCTGGTGTGGCACCAACCCTGCTGAGAGCAGGCCTAGATGACGTAAGTATTACAATGCCATTGGTTGCTGGCTCTTTGTCTGCACTATAGAGCCAATGTGTGGAAGCAGCAATGGGAAATTGGAGGAGAAAAACTATCACAGACAAGGCCAAACACCTGTTGGGAGATCCAGTTACAACAAAGCTAAAACACTGCTCCATTTTGCAGTGTAGATGAGATCTAAATTATTTATAATCAAGTTCCCAATCCCCAACAAAGCCTTAGGTTTCAGGTGTGCTGAGCATTGGACTGCAACTGAAATCAATGGGAGCGCTGAGTGCTCAGACCCTCTAAAACAGTGTTTCCCGAACTGTGGGTCCTTATCCACCAGTGGGTCACAGGAAGGGTCTAGGTCAGGGGTGGGCAAACTACGGTCCGCGAGCCAGATCCGGCCTGCCAGCCATTTTAATCTGGCCCTCAAGCTCCTGCTGGGGAGCGGGGTCTGGGGCTTGCCCAGCTCCAGCACTCCAGGCGGGAAGCAGGGTTGGGGGCTGCTCCACGCAGCTCCTGGAAGCAGCGGCATGTCTACCCTCCAGCTCCGACGCATAGGGGAAGCCAGGAGGCTCTGTTCTGCACGCTGCCCCCACAGCTCCCACTGGCCGGGAACCGCAGCCAATGGGAGCTGCAGGGGTGGCGCCTGTGGAAGGGGCAGCATGCAGAGCCGCCTGGCCATGCTCCACATAGGAGCCAGAGAAGGGATATGCCGCTGCTTCCAGAAGCCGCTTGAGGTAAGCACCGCCCTGAGCCTGCACCCCTGAGCCTCTCTACGTGCCCCTGCCCTGATCCCCCTCCCACTCTCTGAACTCCTCAACCTCAGCCCAGAGCACCCTCCTGCACCCCAAATCCCTCATCCGAAGCCCCACACCAGAGCCTGCACCCCAACCCCCTGCCCCAGCCCTGATCCCCCTCCCACCCTCTGAATCCCTGGATCCCAGCCTGGAGCAACCTCCTACACCCCAAACTCCTCATCCCCAGCACCACCCTAGAGCCCTCCCCCCCTCCCCCGCACTCCACTCCCCCACCGCACCCCAGCCCAGAGCTCCCTCCCACACACTGAACTCCTCATTTCTGGCCTCACCCCGTAGCCCACACCCCCAACTGGAGCCCTCACCAGCTCCTGCACCCCATTTCCAGTTTTGTGAGCATTCATGGGCCCCCATACAATTTCTATTCCCAGATGTGTCCCTCAAGCCAAAAAGTTTGCCCACCCCTGGTCTAGGTGAATTCTGCGTTCCCTGGAGATCCCCTCGCCCCCACGCTCTGACTTTTCCTGGGCAGCAGGCAGAGGGGTGGGGAATGGGATTCGGGTAGCAGCCGAAGCTGCTGGAGCCAGCAAACATGTAGTCAGCAATCTCTCCTTGCCTCACATTCGTTCACATGCTCCAGTGGCGCCTTCCCCACCCACCTCACTTCCTCTTGGCAGCGGATAGTGGCTCGTGGAACTGGATCCTCGTGGCAGCACAGAGGAAGCACCTCCTGGGCACATGCAGGGCAGGGACGGTGTGCTAACTGTCCTCTTGCTAGCTCTGGTCAGTTCCTCAGTGCTGCTGCTGCTGCCTGGATCCCGCTTCCCCTGGGCAGCAGGCAGAGGTGCGGGGAGCAGGATCTGGGCAGCAGCACGGAGGAAGCAGCCGGAACCAGCGAGCCTGGTAGCCATCATGGCCTATCTCCAGGGAGAGGGGGCCCACGGCTGGGAGAGCACAAGCAAGTGAGCTGGGTGGAGCTGAGCAGAGAACTTGGGCTGAGAAGGGGAAGGAAGAGGGGAGCAAAGGACTGGAGGGGGCCAGTGGTAATGGTGGGTCCCCAAAAAAGACAGAATGCAACTGGTAGGTTACCTTAGTAAAAAGCTTGGAAACCACTGCTCTGAAAATCAGCACTCAATACTTCATGTCTTCATAAGAGCATTGTATACGTACACTACACTAGGACTAAAATATACAGCCACAATATTTCCACTATGGTGCAATACCAGGAAACACCAACACTTGCCTGCAAAACCTCTGGGATGCTTTAATATGGCTCTGCATTTTGAAAGGTACAATGGAGAGACCACAATATGACACTTTTCCTCATCATGTCCACCATTCAGGAACCCAGAGAAATGAAACACAAGCTGTTTCATTTCTGTCTGCTGACAGTTGGGTGAGAAAATTAACCCTAGGGCTGCCTCTACCACAGTGGCACAGGTAAAAAATGGATGATTTCCTAGGCCAGTAATCAACACACAAGTCTAGAAATGCTTGTATTTTCAGTGGAAGCTGCCACTTTCTCTCAACAGAACTCTTTCAAATGTGTGGGATTTTTTTTTTATTATAACTGGTTGAAAAAATCTGAATATCCAATTTTTTGGGGACAAAAAAACAGGATTTTGGGGCAAAAAAAATTTGCATTTTTGACCAGCTCTAATTTTTATTTTATATATATATATATATATATATATATATATATATATATATAC